ATATATATATATATATATATATATATATATATAATATAATATAATTATTTTAACTTTTTATAATTATATTTTAAGTTTATATTATACAAAATTGAAATTGATCTGGATCCTATATATAGTTTCGGATTCAAAGCCAGATCTGAATATTTTGGATCAGATCCAGATCGGGATCTGATGAATACTTTTTGGATCTGGATTCGGATCTTGGTGGATCCAAACCAGATCTGAAGAATTCTCATCCTTAACATTTTCTAGCCACTAAACTTGGCTTTTCTTACACTAAAAATGAAGATTGCAACTCTAATTGGTCCCTTGACAAAGCCCAAACACACAATACACCAATAAGTTTGATTAAACACATGATAATACTCAAGTACTTAGAAATACAACATACAAATTACATTGCTAAATTATACATTAATTTGGAATTTCATCAAACGCTCTAAATTCAATCTCCTCCTCCACCAAAGATAAACATTATAAGTGCATAATTGATTTGATCATAGGAAGCTGTATAACGTGCTCATTTTTCCCTGGTTTACAGTCAAGGTCTTAGCTATATACTGTGGGATGGCTTCTAGGATGGTATTAAGATGTAGGAGAATTTTACATCATCAATTTAGGAAGCAATTAAGTATTAAATCACCTACCCTTTTGTGGAAAATTTCAATATATGAGAGGGCTTAAGAATTAGGATCCAAAATGAGGGAGAAACATGGGAGAATATAAGGATGAAATTGTTTAAATTTTCAATTCAACCTACCAAAGAGGATGATCTTAAGGCACATTTGGTTTGTGCATAAATGTTTTTTAGAAAATATTTTAATGTGAAATTTGTGATTGATACGTTTGTTTGGTGCGTAATGCATATGCGAATAAATCCCATGGTAAAAACTTTTACCATGAAATGGTCTAATTCATGGTAAAATAAAACCTCACCTCTTGAGATGGGGAAGCATTCCCCATGCTTTTATTTTCACACACGAACCCACTTTTCACTATTCACTATTTATTATGTAATATACAATATATAAATAGCATTTTTATAAATAATATATTATTTTATATTATACTGTATTATATAACATTAGATAATATATATTAGTATAATAAATATATAATATAATACATAATTTAGAACTATTGTTATAATATAATATAAAGCATATATACTATATAATATAAGAAAAAGTTTATAAAAGATTGCAACTTGAAAATGTAGAATTAAAGATGCACCTCAAAAATCCATCGAAAAATGTTGTTTTAATGTTGAAACCCCTCTAATTGATCATATCAACATCAAGATGTATGAATATACAAACACCAAATTATTTTGAGTTCTTGAAATAGTGCATCTTGCAGCACATTATCTAGACTGTCCATTTTCAAGATTTTCTTATGTTTATAGATCTACTTGAGTTTAACTATTTTTGGAGTTTAAAATTTTATAATTATGAAAATAGATTTTGAGATAATCTTAAGAATTTTTTACATCAAAATTAAGTATTATGTTACAATTTAGAGGTGCATCTTAATTGGATTGTTTAAGGTTGCAACCTTATAGAAACCACGCCCTATAATATAATATTATCTAATATCATGTTATATAATATTATACTATATATTAATTTATATATTACATTATATTATTGTATTTATGATGGATCAGGATTTGTGTAGCTGTTCCCAATTAATTAGAAAATGGCTATGATGATATTATATTATGTATTATATAATATAAATATAATAATATATTATGTACTATTAATATATTTATATTATATTATATTATATTATATTTTAATAAAGAACAAGATCTATTTCAGGAGTCTGGAATACAACGCAGCAAAACTACTCCACAATTAAAAAGGAAATTTTAGCCATTGTAAAAACCTTATAAAAATTTCAAAGTGATGGCCTCCAAATCATATCAAAGAATCAACAACAATATCTCCTCAAGTCCTGTAAATAGAGTCATGGATATTCTGGCGAATCCAAGAGGGTTAGCTATCCCAAACTCATCTGCTCCTAAAATAATCGAGACAGATGCCTCTGAGGGGGGATATGGTGCAATAGTAAAACAAAAAACTTAAAATAAAGAACAATGAATTAGATTTACTTTAGGATTTTGGAATCCTACTCAACAGAACTATTCTACAATAAAAAAAAAAAGAAGAAATTTTAGCCATAGTAAAAACCTTGTTAAAATTCCAAAGTGATATTATAAATAAAAAATTCATACTTAGAATAGATTGTAAATCTGCCAATCTTCTAGAAGGCATAGGCGGCCGCCTAGGCAATGAGGGTTCTAGGCCGCCTAGGTGGGCACCTAGACCCCAAGGCGGCTTGTGTTGTCTTTTTTTTTTTTTTTAAGTTGGATCCCCACAACTCCCCCTATTTTATTGTATTTATTATATAATAATAATAATTACGAATTAATACTATTTTTTTGCTTTGCCAATGAATTAATTAATTTAACATGCAAAAAGCATTTTTGAGAAATTAATAATTAGGAATTAATACTATCTTTTGGTTTACCAAAAAATTAAAAAATATTGTTGCATGCTAAAATATTTTTCGATAAACAATAATTACAAATTAATATTATCTTTTGGTTTACCAATAAATTGATAATTACTGCTACATGCAAAAATTATTTTTGATAAATTAATAATTACGAATTAATACTATCTTTTGGTTTATCAATAACTTAATAATTACTGTTACATGAAAAAAGCATTTTTGAGAAATTAGTAATTACAAATTAATATTATTTTTTGGTTTACTAATAAATTAATAATTACTGTTACATGCAAAAAGTATTTTTGAGAAATTAATAATTACGAATTAATACTATCTTATGGTTTATCAATAATTACTATCATATGCAAAAAGCATTTTCGATAAACTAATAATTATGAATTAATACTATTTTTTGGTTTATCAATAAATTAATAATTACTGTTACATGTAAAAAGTATTTCGACATATTAATAATTACGAATTAATATTATTTTTTGGCTTACCAATAAATTTATAATTACTGTCA